GTAACTGAGTCACTGAATACAAGTGTCAGAGTGTGTGTGTGTGTGTGGGTGCGTGCCAGTGCTGCCATTATGGTGCAGGCTTCCGAGGCTTCCAACATGTGCGTGTACAAGCGAGGCATTTTCTGCGTGTACAAGCGAGTGCCATGCCGTCCAGAAATGTGCTGTGTGGGTGAAGACATCTGATGCATTCACTTTGAGGTCCAACCCAATACAGCAGGTTCATACCTGGATGGAATGTTGTCACACGCTCTTTAACCCAGCAAGATACTAGCTTCCCGTATCTTCCTCTTGCGCATGCTTGTAGAGAAATAACCCTGTTTACTTTCTACTGTTCTTCCTCTCCACTCTTCCGGAACCCCTCCAACCCCCACCGGCCCCAGGTGGGCCCCACCTGGTTCTCCGCGGCAATCCGCTTGGCCTCCCGCCGCTGGGACTCACCATGGAGACCTCGGGCATCCCACAAGCATCCCCAACCCGTCTCAGGGGATGGGGGATGGCTGGGGTGCTTCTTTTTCCCTTTTTACACCCGGATCTCTGCAGCTGTCGGTCAGGACACGCCATGTGCAAGCCTTGCTGAGTGGGAGGTGGTGGGATACTGTGGGGCCTAGGGTTCAGCATCCGATGATTCACCACCGGTAGATCACGACTGGCCCACCTTGAAAGCCACAGCCTCCACGGCTTCGGTGCCCTTTGGGCGCCCGACTTCGCGGCCTAGACGTGCTACTGCTCATGGCATCCGCCAACTGTCAGCCATGCAGGGATGAAAGGTCGCAGAACTGGTTTACTAGGCAGGTAGCCATCAATCAATCGATTTGTCCGGTGCGTGCTCTTTCTCTTCAGGGTCCGTTTCCGTTCTGGGACTGTTGGAGTGATCTTTCCAGAATCTTTCGAACAAGGAAAAGACTCCAAAGGAAAAATTATGGTCTTGATAAGCAAGCGAAAAAGTGGTCTTGTGGGCACCAACGAGTGCCTGGGCCAACTGTGTTTGCCCTGTTGGAAGGGGCAAACATCCCCCTTTGAACACTGCAGTTTCACAGCAATGTCTCCAGTAGCATTCAGAAGAACCTGTAGGAGCCTGCTGTCCTCACAGAAAAGGGTTAATCATGCTCAAATCCACTAGCAGATGGGTTGAACTTCCCATGACTTCCCCCATCCTTAGGGAGGGGCGTCTCGTCTCGGGGGCGGCAGCTCAAATCCGTACGGCAGACTGGGGAGCCTCAGTACGGCCAGGCGCCTGCGAAGGCTTAGTGTCGATGTTGAGCATCTTCTGCAGCAGTATGCGATTCTCCAACTGCCAGGGCGTGCAGATTCTGGGGGGACTGCAAACCCTGCAGAAGCCAGACTGTGGGAGGGCTGAGCAGCAACCATCCCTCTAACTTCTCACTGTAAAAAGAAACAAAAGATGGATACGGAAACTATTGTTCAAGTTGGTTGAGAATCGTTTGATATGTTGGTGTCCCTGTAGCCTAGCATATACTGATCAGAGTTACAAAGTTGTGGATAAACATGTAGTGTGTTCGGATTTTTCGTATTTCGCTTGGCCAGAAAATTTAAATTTTAAGGCCAGGTGATATCTGTTAATTCACAAGAGGATCTGACCGTATGGATCTGACCGGTTTAACTCTGAAACGGGCAAAATCACCTATAGCGGCTTGCCTTCCTACTTGCCTGCTACTTGCTTACGGTACATATTTCACCCAGCTATCTACAGCTATAGTAAAACATAGATCTTAACTTCCTGGCCTACTACCTTGGACGTACAGCTCACGGATGGATCCATTCTTCCTGTTGATTGCCCCTCATCCATGGCGAAATTCCCTCATGACCAGAGCTCCGGACGGCGACCGACCGTTTCATACCGGACGGATGGCACCTGGATCTCGGCGGCCCGGTCCTGGCGGTCGGAAGAGAACGACAAGTGCGGCTTCGCGGGCATTTTCGGGAAGGAACTCCTCATAGAGATTCCGGACAAGGAACTGGCGTGACCCGAAAGATCATTCCACAGATAAAAAAGGACGAGAAAACAACCGCTCAGAGAAGGTTGATGATTGTTTCGTCTCTTCAATGGTCGAGAGTCTGTTCCAAGTAGTTGCATCTGTTCCGAAATCGGTGCTCCAAAAGCCACACTCGGGAACTGCTTGGAGGTTTTGTTTCTCTTGTTAGGCAGCAGTTGATCTAGGTGTGGTATCACTGGAATCACTGGGATCTGCAATGGATGGGAGATCTCGGTAGGAAGGACTATTTCTAGGGCACCCCTACTGGTGGCCCTGAGGTATCCGAGTTTCTTGGCTACGTTCTGTCAAAAACGGCCTGAGTAAATGCAAATCTGGTTGACCACCAGGCAAGAAGTATACAGTATACTATACATCTACTGCGGAGTCAGAAAGCAATTGCAACACTTAACATCTTGGGACACCCTCGTGATCAAAGAACACACTAAAACTCGGATGCCAAATTATGCAGTATTTCTGTTCAACATGGCCCCGTGCACCACAAAACGTTGGAATCGCTCACCAGCTGACCCACGCCTCTTGGAGCTTTCGAGTCTTTAACTTCGAGCGAAGATGCGTGTGCTCTTTGGGCTGCCGAGCATCTACCTGAGCTCGACTCCATGAGCGACCCAGAGTTTGAACCGGCTTCGGGGCCATGCCGGCTGATGAGTTTCTGGTCGACACCGTTGGAGGTGTCAACTTGTGCATGTCGAGTACATCAAGCATGTTCAGAGCAACAAATTGTGTTGTGCATGCAGCGCATGCATACACCAACTCCAAGGCGTTGCTCAGCGTTGCTCAGCTCTCAACTTGGCCCCGGGTACTCTCCAAGGCTTGGAGGTGTCTCTCATGGCCTTCAAGGCTTTTCAGTCCGGAAAGTCTCCCCGGGGGGGGAATCATACTCCAATTCCTAGGTGTACCACCATCTAAATTCCATCTAACTCCATCATATTCCATCTACTTGCAATCAAAACATATCAGATATAATTGCATAATTATATAGCGCATATATATATATATAGATATTACAAGTGAAAGTCACTCCGAGCTCCCCACGCCGCAGCTCGGTGCGTTCCGCCACCAGGCGGTTGCACGCAGACCTTGGACTGCGGCTTCCAACACCGCGTGAAACACCCGGCAGCCGCTTCAGCGATGCTCCCAAAAAGAAAAGGAGCCCAGAGCGTTGAACCTAAGGGGAAAGGCGCAAATCCGCGGGTGGTTGGATCAGAGAAAAATTCCCTGGGCCCACAGGAAGCTTCACGAGCTTGGAGACCTTGGAGCACTGAGATGCACTGAGATCACCCCACATGTTCCATAGATTGCCCTTGAACGCCGGCATCTTCACCTGCGACACATGAGCACACATGAACTGATCCGCTCAACTGCCGTGAGCACACGTCAAATACCTTGCTTTTTGGGGTTGATTTCTTTCCACCATCTTGTTCAACAAAGAGAAGTTCAGCATCGAGAATCCCTACGCCTGACTGACTGGTAGTTGTGTAGGTGTTCAATCTCAGGTATTGGATGGTGTTGAGCTTTGTTGTTGTGTCACACTCGGTCCGCTCATCCCCTAGCCACTGCAGGGGTGGGGTAGTGGCCCTAGGCTAGGCCACTACCGGCCCCACCGTCCGGCCTGTCCAGGCCCGAGCGTCGCCACAGGGGGCATCGACGGGCGTCTGGAGCCAGATGGCATGCGGTCCGTTGATCTCCACGGCCACGGAAAACTCTTGAAAAAGTCGGAAGTCGTGTCGTCTTTGTTGCGTTCGGAGGTTTGGGGTATACTGACTGTCTTCTTAAAGAAAAGGAAGTGCAAAAGGAAGTCTTAGGCATGGGGTCTTTATCTGAAATGAATCAAAGGCGGTCACGCCTGAGTCACCCCAGTCAACCTGTGGGTCCCACTTCCATTGGTGGAAGGTGGGGGTAAAGGGACCTGACGGGTCAACCTTGGAATCTAGCGGAAGCCAGAGTAACAAAGACGCTACGAACGGGGCTCCTGGCCTTACTACGAACGGAGCAAGGACGCTACGAACGTAACAAAGGGCATCGCTACTAGCTGAGTTCTTTCGAAGTACAGCCCCGATTCACCTTCACCAGGGCTCGTGAGCAAATGATCAACTCATAGTCTTCACTCATTTCCTCTGGTATCTGTGGTCCCTTTGCATGTCTTCTGGAAGGACATCTGTATGGCTGTTCAACCTGTCTGACAGTAGAACCAGCTGGCTCTCACGTATTTTCAGTGGCGCGGACAGAGCCACCGCTATTGGGTGTATCTCAAAATGGCGAGACCTCTACATATGTTTTTTGGAATTCGATTAGCTTTTTCGTCTTTGGGGAGGTTCCCCATCCAGCGGTCCCCTCATTTTGAGGCATCCCTGGTGCAAAGACACTGAGCAGATCATCCAAAAGTGAAGCTGCGGGACAATGAGCACATCTTCTGAACAAGGCATGAGCCTTATGAGCCTTTGCTACTGCAATCTAACAGAGGATGCACCATCCCTTTAAGGCTCCGCCTTCGATTCGCGGGCAAATCGAGGGTGAATCCGTCACCGTTGAGCCAAAGTTGTGCAAGGGAGCATGTGGTGGTAAGGCAAATCATGTTCCTTCTGAAAGTAGCAGCACTCTCATATCCTGGGGTGGCCAAGCCACAATGACAGTGTCCTCAGAGACGTCATTCCTTGCAACACCTTAAAGCGCTTGAGGAACCATCCATTTCAAGAGTATCCATGGTCAAGTCATTCAGACATTCCACCTAGCGTCCAAAATGCTCACTTTGGACAGCTGGCTTGCCAACGGTGCTGCCTCTGCAGCCACCAAAAGTGAGGTTGATGCGTCAAAGCAAACAATTAACTTGAAACTGATGGGATAGCATCCCCAACAACTACCATGGAGTCACCAATGGCACAATTCTTACGGTGATGAATCCCTCACGGCTGCGCTCAAGCTCAAACTCAGCAGAGGAGCTCGATCTTCGCGCGCCACGTCCCCGACCCTCTTGGCGTGTCCTCGCGCCGTTGACTCACTTTTGGCCTGGAAGAGCCATAGGCAGGAGAAGTTGTTCAGGTGTAAAGCATGAGAGAACCCCAAAAGTGCCCAGGACCTTCATAGTGGGCCACAAGCATGCACCTGAAAGAGAGAAAGGTGACCACAGGTGAAGAGATTCAAAGGTTCGTTGCGGTTGCAGATTCTTGAAGTCCTCAGCCCCAGCAAGACAAACCCAAAGCAACCCTACAGTAGTGACAGAAAACACGAAAATCGTTGCGTTAGAGATCCCTTCCACTGCCCGGATCCGCCGCGAGCTTTTCTCGCGGCTCTTCCCGGTGCCTATGAGGCTCGCCACCAGGAGGCCCAAGCCATGTTGAAGACCACCAGAAGGACCAAAACCAACAAGATTGCATGCTGCCTGGGGTGCACAAACTAAGAAGTGGAAGATTGAGGGGGTTAAAACAAAAAGGCATGTGTATATATATATATATCTACACATAAATGAGCCCGATAATTTCTCAAACTGCACTCTGATCTGATGGGTCAAGATCTAGTGGAATCACCGGGTGATGACCCGGAATTTACAAGCTATGGTCGCAATCACTATCGTTGTTTTAGCACTAGTAACTAGTTACAAGGGCATTACTACAAGTAACAAGAAGCTACTAGTAACAAGTGCACTATTTACAAAATTCTGACGGCCGAAAGATCTCTCAGTAGATGCCTCTAGGCGTTGTCGTTTCTGGGCACCGCGGCGTCTTTTGGTGCTCGGCTTCGTCCTGGCACTTGCTTCGATCACGTTGACAACCGATGCGAGTGAAGCATAAAACGCTGGGCTGAAGGGTTGCTATGCTTTGGTTTCGGATGGTGTTTGAGGCCAGCCTGTGCTTGTGCTTTCGATGCTTTATCATGCTTTATCACTTTAATTGAGCTTTGGGGGGGTCTGAAAGAAGGATTTACTCATTTATGGTGGCAACAGCAGGGTGAATCATGGGGGGGACCTTTGTGGTGAACTCAGAAATCTGTTCATGATGAACTTCTGGTTGCTGTGGGCTTTGTTCCCTCTAAGGTCTGGACACTCTAACATGGTTGGTTGGTTGGTTGGTTGCATCACGTCAAGTTCCGGATGGTATGTAGATTCGCAGATCGCTCAAAGCCACTTTCAAATACTGTAGTGGATTATCTGAGAAGCTGCAGATTCACAGAGACCCCAGCCCCAGCCTGCGATCCCTTGGTCATTGCTCTGGCACAGCGGAATACGGAACCGGGCCAAAATTCCCTGCCACACGGTGGATGAACCACTTAGCTCACTCTCAAAACAGGGAGAGCACAAATTCTAAACGCGAAAAGTGCCCCCCTTTCGAGGATGGACCACCCCGAAGCACTGCAAAAAGTCACCGGCAGATGCCGATGTCGCTATCGCATGGCGAAGTCGGTCTTCGCGCGCCTGGTCCGTGAGGCTATCGCTTGTCGTCTTGGCGGCCTTGCCCGGCTTTTCGACCTTCTTTCCTCGCAGGTTCCGCGTCTAGTAACAAGGGCATGCCATTAGTAACAAGGGCATTACTACTAGTAGCTTGAAGCTACTAGTAATAAGGCACCTTACTGCTAGAAGCAAGAAGCTACTAGTAGCAGGGTCACCAGCCAACCGCAACGGGACCGGAGTCTCTCCGTCGATCCCCGACCACGAGCGGTTCACGTGGGGTTCCGGCGTCCTTTCCACCCCCAAGCAAACCGACCTATATAACTGACCTCACCGGTGTCGTTTTTACAGCAAATTCTGGAAAGTTTGAGAATGGTTATCAGAAATCCACCTCACTGCTGTGATGACCATCAAGATCTTTCCCTTCATGACTTCAGCCATCCACTTGCCTCCCCAATCCCCGTTCCTTTTCGAAACACAGCTGTGGAGACACACACCAAAAATCTACTCACATCTACATAGGTCCAAAAAGGCGGAGGAGGAGGAAAACAAAAGCTGCCTGAGCACTGAGCCATCCGAACATTTTGGGACATTGGACAGTGTTCATATGTTTGACTGGTCCATGTTTGATCTACAAGTGACTACTAGAAGTTGTGATAACTCAGCAACCAAGAGCAAGCATAACTACTCATGTTTCCGAAACAGTGTGCGTGGCTGCAAACAATTAAGTATAAGTCCATGCCCCAGCAGGAAACCCGGTTACTGTATCTTCTCGGTGGTGTTTTCCCGTTTCATCCGTTCTTCCCCCCAACGAGTCGGTCGAAAAAACGCACCCCGCGTTGACGGCGGCTCCTTTGCTCTTGGCCTTGGCCGCCTTCAGCCGTCCAGGGGCCTCGAAGCTGAGAGGCTGTTTCTCCCCGCGTCCACCGGGGGAGAGAGGCTGGACGGAAAAGAGATCATGTGTTTTATCATGGTTTTACATTGTAGACAAGGTCCGAACATGCAAAGGTCTCTGATATTCTCATCCCACAAAGTGCCAAGGCTTCAAGGATTGTTACTTGTGACCGCTGCTTGTTGATGCTTCGCCATACTGCACGAAGTTCAAGGGGCTCTTTCCAAGCTGAAAATGCTCATACAGAATCCCAGCCCAGTAAGCATGGCGAAGAAAAGTATCACTACGCACACCTGCTTCTGCTGCTGAGGTGCTGGTTCAGCACGACGAAAAAGCCAACCAAGACTCCTTGGTGGCGGCAATGCAACGAATGCAGCCTGCAAAGTGGCACTTGCTGAGGTCAGCAGTCCATATCAATCAGCCTTTGAAACAACCATAGCACCCTCAGCAGCCTCAGCACCCGCCAGGGATTGTTCTGTTTTAATCAGATGGCTGCGGGTTATGCTCCAAAAGATTAAAACATGGTTCATGATCCCAGGTCAAAAATCGTTGCTGCATCATTCTGTTGGAAGAAAAAATGTCTTACATCGTTTGACTTCTCTCCTTCAGTCGCTACCTTATGTTGGAAAGCCAAAGGCCCACCGGTCACCCATCTCATCAAACCATCGCCCATGCATGCACGTAGAACAAAGGGCGCCCGAGCCAGGATATCCTCACTTCTTCGCCTCCGGCTCAAGAAATTTGGGGCTCAAGACTTCTCCTGTCCCCTAGGGGTCACACTCTGACGGGGACCTGTGGCTCTCCTGAAATTGCATCGTTACCATCACTACCAAGCACCCTTCCAACACAGGATGAGGGGAATCGGGAAGCACACAAAACTTGTAGCAGAACACATGCCACAAACTCTGACCTTATGAATCCTTATGATGTGTCGTCGAAGTAGTTGTTGCCCCAAAGAAGCCATTTTACCAGGAACCCTCATCTCAGTCTGCGTCTTTCTGTTTCATGGCCCTCCAACTGGCCTGGCAAGCTGATGTCAGAGGGAAGATGCTTGCCATTGGGCCTCAGCAGAAAGTGACTTCGGTGCCGGAAGAGGAGGGATCCCCAAATACTTCAGTCAAAGTCCTCTGGACAGATGGAGGAGGAAATCCATCTGCGGACGTTGGCCTCCAGTTGAGAAAGACTCCAAAAATGCAATTTCCCGTTGTTATTTTCCCCGTTCACAAGTTGTCTTAACAAATCGAAGTCACTGTCCGAGGCGCCACAGGTTTAGATGACAAGTGATAAATCCTAAGCAAGGAGGCCCCTGAAAGGACCAGGTGCGCCAGTGGTCCAAAAGGGTCGAAAATCTCGTGATTTTAGATGCTTGTAGTAAAGACAGGCATATAATTTTACCAATCCGTGCCCACGAGCGTGATCGATGCAGATCTGGGCTTGCCCCGCTTCACCACAGGCTGATCAACCTCACGCCGCCCAAAGGCTTAGCACCCAACCCGCAAAGCCATCTTCCAAACGGAGGGCGGTGGTGACCCAAAGGCATCGTTTAGAGAACATGCCTCGTGCCACTTGATGTTGATGAACCTGTGGGAGGGGAGCACCATGTTTGTCAACCTTTCAACGTGCACAGGGCAGATGGTGCTTTCGAACGCCTTCTCTCTACGCCAAAGGAAGTGGGGCAATCATTTGATTTGCTTCCTTCGGCCCTGCACCAAGTCCTTTCTTTCGGATGCCAGTGGTTGGTCTCAGTCGTTCTGAGGGCCACACTTTGGGTTCAGCCTGCCACGTGGAAGACAACTGTTCATATTTCTTGCTGACCCTACTTGTCCTCCGTGAAGCATGGGCTGCCAAGATAGGAATAACAGGAAGGGATGTTATATAGCTGTAGCAACCTAGGCTTGGCTTGGCACATTTCAGGAAACTCGCGCTCCAGTGTCAAATGAGCAGCAGAGCGGGCACGCCTCTGCACAATTCGCGGACTGGCTTGGGTCCCCAAAAGTGATTTGCAAAGCCACACGAAAGCCCGAACCAGGCATTCTTGGAACCCAAGAATGTGAGACACCGAACCCTGTCCTTTGAAGTCAATGTTTGGTTTTTTCGTCTCATGGGCTGCTTCGTTTGGGTCTTCGTTCCCAACATCTCCTGATCTCCTGGGCTGCTTCGGACGCTCGGTGGATGGAGGTGGGTCCATCGGTCGGTTGCGGTCTATCGTCCCACGATCGTCCCACTGCCTTGCTGTGCTTCGCAGCTTTGGGCCTGGCGGGCAGCGACGGTGTGGTCAGCTTTTCCTCGGTGGTCGAGGTTTTTCCAAGAAACGAAGATGGTTTGGTTGTCGAAGGTTGTTCTCAACTTGGGAGGTGGTATGTTTCCTGAACTCAGGTGTTTCCTGGTATCTCCGTCTCGGTGCTAACCCAATGTTGCTGACCTCAGCAGAATGGTAGCCAACACCCCAAAGCATCCAAAGACGACAAAGAATGCCCTTTGGGGGTGAAAGGAACGAGCATGAAAGAGCTTATCTAAGCAGGGTTTCAGAGGGTCAGAACATGGCGTCTCTTTGCCGGTCTCTATCAGTACCTTTTTTTGCAGGGACCGATGTGGATTGTGGCCGTGAGCTGAGGTAGCTGACACCCTCAAGTTGTGTACGGAACTGATCAAGAAGCTTTGATCCCAAGTTTCTCACCACAGCCGGAACCAGCGCGCAGGGTCATGTATGTTCTCACATAGTTACCATGCCAGAGTTCAAGAAGGGAGAGATTTCTCAACTTTGTTGGATTCCAACCACCGGAAGCCTGGCCATTGCAGACTCTTAGACGCCTCGCTTGGGGCTCATGGGGCGCAGTGCAGGATGCAGCTGAGAAGCCCGCGTCCTTGACGCCAAAAGGTGCAGAAGAACCTCCAACCTAATGGCGATGGCCTCCAATGATGGCCTCCAAGCTACCATTTCAGAGGAGGATGATCTAAATCCTGGACCGCCTTCAACATCTGCAAGAATTTTCCCCAGTACTAGGAACAAGGACACTACTAGGAACAAAGAGCATCGCTACTAGGAGCAACGACGCTACTAGGGGCTCCTGGCATCGCTACGAACGGAGCATTCTTACTACTAGTAGCATGTAACGTTTCCGATACTCACCCAAGGAACCACGGCTGCTTGCAGTTGCTCTGCCAAGGCCTTGCCGGAGCGTTGCGGAGCGTGGGCCCAAACGATGGAATGCCTACACATGGGGACAAATGCCTGGTAGACATTCCTTCTTGCAAACCATTCGATAAATGCAACTTACATCAACTTACAACCATTGAAAACTTGAGCTTCACGACATACTGTGGATTCCAGTCACCGCCACAGCCCCCCCACCACACCCGGTGTCCAACCCCCGAGCCGCCTTGATTTTTGCCTTGTCATCGAGCTTCCGCTGTTCGAGCCTCACACTCCCGATGAATCCGGGCATCGTCCCGGGTCCTCCGGTTACGAGAAGAATACATGGAAAACCCTAAACCAAAACTTACCGGATTACAGGAGTACTTATATAACTTATATAGTAAATTGTCCTTTGTTACGTGCAACTGACTCAAAACCCCCACGGACCTCATGTTCAGGACTACAGGACGTATAGGACTGCAAGATTGCCACTGGCCCAAATCCAAGACAAACTCAAATACGTTTCTCGGAGTCTCTTAATCTCGTACAGTTGACATACCTGAGGCACATCCTGGTCATCATACAACCCAAAACCGGCACTGCTGCTTCCCTCAGGCCCCGGCTGCTGCAAGCGTTGCTCGGCCGATTTCACCCGCACCGCTTGCTCTGCCGCATCCTGGACAGAGAATTGGCTCTTGAGGAGTGCCAAGTAACCAGACACAGAAAGCCCCTGCAGAGTGTTTTCTGAAGTAGGCAGCCTGGCACTGACAATTGCACTGATAGCATCTGATACCCCATCGCAACCCAGAATAGGGCATCTCTCAAGCAAGCAGCCCCCACTTCAGTGTATGGTATGGTTCTCTCATGGGCAGAACTTCGCTGAATCCTGGCACCTAATTCCACCAGGTGATGGTTGGGTTTGATCTATCTAGGTCCTACCTACTGTATCTTCTTTAGAAAATCTTACAACCAAGATCTTCCACTGAGCCACTCCCAAGCTCAGTCGTCAGAATGTCCCACCAACTGTCAACTGGTGACTGCTGGGTCTGGTGGGTCTGGCGTGCGTAGTGGATGGCCGAGGAGTACGCTGGATGCCGTTCAAAATACAACAGCATGGCAGGCCAGCAAAAAAAGGGTTTGGCATTCACCCAATTTCCCCATCCAGGCCTTTCGCCAATGTTCAGCCTCTTTCTTGAAGTCCTCCTGGGATCGCACCACCAAAACCCCTTCCCCCGGCACATCTGGAGACAGCGAACCCAGAAACAGATCAAAAAGACCATCGTCTTGGAAGTCACATCAATTTTCGAGCTCCCAGCTCGAGAGTCATCGAGGTACTTGTGTTTAAAAAAATATACATAAAAGACCCACTACTTGAAACCTTCCAGCGAGGTCTTCGAAGAGACATCGAGTCAGACTGGTGCCCTGAAGAGGTCAGACAGTCGGGAAAAGATCACGCGGAAGCTCTCAACACTTGGCTCCCCTTTGGTGCGCTTGAAGATACCTCTTGCCGACCTTGCCGATGTATGAAGCACGCAGAAGCATCTGAATACTGTTCAACCGCCCAGTATGTGAAGCACATGTTGTGCCCAAAGGCCCAAAGGATAACATTTGGTGTGTGTACAAGAATAGGGGGACGTTCCACACCCACGTACCGGTGCTGCCCCTCCTGCTCGACCCTCACGTCCGCACGAGCTTCGTTCGCTTCCTGGCGGTGACGTTGGGATGCGGAGCGAACGCCTGGACTTCGGCCGTGAAAAGACCCCGAAACCCTTCAAATCCTGCAAGATGGTCCTCAGATGTCCTCTCAAACGCCGGAACACGCGCCATGCTGAAAGCATGTCACCATTGTGCTTCAGGGTTCCAAGATGATGTTAGGACCTTGCATTACACGATCCCTCATCAAGCCTTCGGAATCATCTTGTGTCCATCGATCGAGTGGTTTGTCCATGTATACTTTTGTTCAGGCGCCAAAAAGCTGCCACTCTGATCCAGTCTTTGCTGGACATGCCAACATTCCACCTCAACTTGGCCCGTATCGTGAGGCCGAGCGAGATGTCCATAAGACCACAGCAGTTGGGTGCAACATTGGCTTCAGTCATTAGCTGTCTCCAGTTCCCTGCCTCCAGTTCCCTTCCTCCAGTTCTCTTCTTCCAGTTCTCTTCTTCCACTTCCCTTCTCCCAGCTCTCTTTCTTCAGTTTCTTGGTATTTCGCTGCTTGGATTGGGCAGGGGTCCACAAAACAGGACTTCACATCTTGGCTTTTCTCCAGGAATGTCAGTTGGCAAAAGCGTTCGTCAATGCTTGGCTGGCTTCGCCTCTTCTCCCTGTTCTCCTGTCATGGCTTCACCGAAAGCCAAAGCTTCGGATCCTCAGCGATCCGCACGGGGGCGATCCACAAGTCCGCGTGGGCTCCGTGTCGTGGTCCACTTCTGCGGAGGTGGGAGTGGAGGGCCCAGCAAGGCTTGCAGCACATGGGTTGGAAGCCGCGTTGAGCCGAGCTTTTGGAGGTCCAGCAAGGCAGGCCACAGTGCTAGGAGTCCGAAGCCAACTTGCACGGGAAGCAGACTGGCCCTGAAAAAACCATGACTCAGGGCGCTGCTTGTCTTTGATTGGTAGGAATGCATCGGAATGCAACAGGCTCAATCATCAACTCGCTTCCACTTTGAGATTGAGTTGGATAGGAATACAAAGACATTGTGAATTTATTGGACAATGGTGAGGTAGTCTCAGGAGTATGAGTTTAAATCCCTGCCAACCCATACCATCCATTCATCATCTCAAAAGATGCTCCACATGGGATTAGATGGGGGTCTGGGGTCCAAGAGAGAAAAAACTAGTCGAATGCCACGGAAGTGGGGAGATGTCAACGGCGCTCACCGGATATTCGACACCGAAAAAAATAAAAAATAACATCCCTCATGCATATATAATATAATTGGTGTTTTTATCCGAGATCGAATGCCCGAAAAGGCAGAAAGTGTTTCTTGACCCTTGGGCCCTCTCCCCTGTTATTTCATCAGGCCTCACTTCATCTGAAAGCATCTCACTCAGCAAGCAGCACAGCAGCCCTACTGCATTCATCACCGCCAGCACCGCCGCATGGGCCACTAGCTCCCAGGCTCTTCGGCGGCTTCCAGAGCCATCGCGGTCCTCCGCGATCACGGAAAGAACGGAGGAGCGTTGGTGGGTTGGATCCATTTGGGGATTCAATGGGATTCATGGCTCAACAAATAGGTGGAGTACAAGAGCGTCCAACTCATTGTGCCACATCCCCTCATCTGTGATGAACCACATGCTCATGCACACTGCCCTCAACATGGCTTGCTCCTCCCCTTGCAGGCCATGCGCATAGCCATCATGCGCTCGAAGAAGATTCAACGTAAAGCAGGACTCGGTCAGTGCCAAGGTGAAACATCTGAGCGAGGCAACGCCTGGTGCAGCTGTGAGTGGCCCGCTACAGATCTCCCCGATGGACGGTTCTTCCTTCCGTCATATCCGTCCATGGCCACTGAAAACGGGGCTGTCGGGTAAACCCGGGTATATTGAATAGTGGCTCGTAATCATTGCGAATTGGCAATTGGGAAACTTGCGAAGGCTTGAACGAAGTCCTAAAAGCAAAAGTTAGGATCCAAACATGACTCGTTTTGAAGCAACGTTTGGACCTGTTTGGACCTGTTTGGACCAGCCACATCGACCGAATCTCTCGCCGTCTGCACCTCCTGAACCTGGGCGTTCGATCTCGACCAGCAGTGCCGCCAGCAGAATCCCGAGCAGCACGCCCTGAAGAAGCCCCGCCACGGCCCTGTAAAGCACACGTCCACGCTCCGCCCCGACACAGAGTTCAAAGATCTCAGCCTCCTTGGGGAAGAGGAGAAGAACCTCCTCCCTACTTAATAGCCATGGCCTTCCCAACATGTAAAGCTTCTCTACTATGTGAGTTTGCCTATGGCTCTAAGAAATGCTGGAATCAACTGAATGGTGCGTAGTAGCTTACTTAGCCCATACTTCATTGAGTAGGCACCTACTTAATTAAGGTGGCGGGTCTTTTTATGTCTTTTTGATCAAAATGCCCCAATCGCCTCTCCCAACTTCTCCAACTTCAAGACCTCCGGCACTGCACACGCATTCACCGCGCACGCGGACAGTCCCCGTGGCCACGGGCCCCGTTCGACCACCTCACTCCGCGCCCGTGCGCCGCCGGTAGGGCCGCTGGCCACGGAGCGGCGGCGCCCCAGGGAGGCTGAAGTGGGGGCCGGCTTGAAGTGACTGGGGTCTCCCACGCGCTGAATGTAGACCTCCTGGCCTTTGTTTTGACTGGTTTTGGTGGAGTGGTACCCATGGAGTGCTTGAGGGCAGCTTTCATGATGTTTCTAGAATTCGACATGGTCTGACGTGCTTCGGCACGACAGCCCCTAGCACATGCTTCGCATGGCGGGCGTCACCCCGGCATCCCCCCCCGAGGTGTCGGAGACGTTTCGGGAACGTGAACTCGTAGAGGAAAGCATGTTGCAAACGAAGTGTTTAGAACGCTAGTAGCAAAGGGCATCGCGACACGAACGGAGCGCTTGAAGCTACGAACGTAGCTCCTGGCCGTACCTACTAGGAACAAGAAAGTGTTTGGTTTCCCCACTAAATTACATGTCCATTAAAATCCCCTCCAAAGAGCTCGGGGTCTTCGACAACTATACACAAAGAAGCATCAAAGAACCATCAAAACAATTCAAAAGAAATGCCTTTCTTTGGACCAGGTGGCTTTTGTTCAACCTCCTTGGCGATCTCGGTGACTCCGGTGCAGGTCTAGGTGATGCGCCCTGATCAACGCAGTCTTCAGCATGCACTTGTAGTCCGAAGGGCGCCACCGGAAGCCCAATCGTGGAGGGCAACACACCGCTGAAGGCGGAACCACTCGGGTATGGACCCAAAGGCGGTGGGATCGCCATGGCGACCGTGTTAGGAAGCAGCTACTCTTTTTGTGTGAAACCACTGGTGTCAAAGCAAGTAGGGATTCTTGTACTTCCAAATGACCCCGCTAGAGTCGGCTAGAGCCCTGCAAGAACTTGCTTCAGGCAGCTCAAGCTTCGGGGGCAGAAGAAATACTGCCACACGAACCACTGCCCTTCAAACCTCTACTTGCTGCCCTTCAAACCTCAAATTTACCATCAAAACCTCTAGCACCATGCGAAAATATGTCGAAATCATACTTTTGGGATCCCCCAATTTAGGTTCTGCTTCAGTTTTACACCACAAAGTCGTGCAGCGGAACTTCCCGCCTGTGCTTCCAGGTTCAGCGCCACCTCGCGATCCTTGGATTCTTGCCTCATTCGATACGAGGGCCTACGAGGTAGTGCCAAGGAGGTCGTTGAGAACGGGAGGGCGTCAAGAAAGAGTAGGGTACGCTAGTAGTAACAAGTGCATCGCTTCTAGTAACAAGTGCCTTACTAGTAGTAACAAGAAGCTACTAGTGTTCCAAAGGAGATCGGAGAGACTTGGACTTCACCGTTCTGAACGGGTTTCCCCCATGGCAGCACACACTAGCATGGAAACCGAATCAAATCGAGAACGAATCCACTGAATCCACTTTTTCTGAGATGCCAGGGGGGAGTCTGATGTTTCTGGCGCCAAAGGGTGACACATCGTGAAACTCCTGACTTCTCAAAGCCAAGCTGTGCACCAAAAAATCGACGAGGCCTTGTTCAAAGTCAAACCGGCCGCAGCTTGCGAAGCCCGCAGCTGATCCGGATATTTCGGCAATCTGACAGCAACGGACCACTGCTGTCCCTTCTGTGGGGCCAACTGGCCAAGGTGATTGCGTCACAGTGGACTCAGCGATACTCATCGGCTCATCAGAAAATTCAGAACCTCGACTTGATCAATGGGTTGGTGGGTCTCAAGCAATCCCGGAGGACTTTCTGGAGGTCCGCATATAGGACTATGGGGTTCTGAGGTGATGAGATTTGGTGCGTGGCTTGGAGGTGCAGGCAAAGGAGCAGGAGCTCCAACTACCTGCGGAGGAGCTGTAGGAGGAGGATTGCTTGGCATGCTTCCCACGTTCCAGGAGTGTTGCCCGTCAGATGCATTCGGCGCTGGCGTTGCTTCTGGGTTTTCCATCAGTAAACCCAACGTCGTAGCAGTGCTCGCTTGATGGTGACCAGGACGACCAGGTGGTGAACTTGCATCACAAGGAATTCTGGGCATTCCGGGCATCCTTTCAGATGCTTCTGGTAAGCGAACAGGTACGAAATGATGTGGCGCTTCTGGAAATGAGAGCTGGCTATCAAATTCAACGTCCAAGTATCCTTGGAGCAACTTTCGGACATAGGTGCTCTTGCGAGCTTCTGCCTGCAGTTCATCATGAATCTGCTCCAACCTGCCCTCAGAAGCTTGCAAAAGCTCTTGCACGTCAGCTTTGAATTTGTCTCGCGTTTGCTTCCTGGGACGGTGCGTTGTTTTCGCCTTCTCCCCAAAGTTCTCATGGGAGAAGTGGCAATATCGGCATCTGGCGCCTTTGGGACAGCCACGGATCGTGGTGATAAAGACGCATGGATCACAAACTCCATTGTCGTGACTAACACGTTCAGCACGAAAGGTCTGGTCAAACCGTCTCATGCCCAGGGACGATACAGTGCTGGTGCCATCGTCCAGCACTGTTGTAGCCATCACTGCATCTCCTATGTTGTCCTTGCCCTCTTTGCTCTCTTGGCACTCATCATCAAAGCTTTGCGAGGCACTCTGCTGCATCAAATTCTCCTGAAGCACGGCAAACCATCCAGAAGAGGCTCCGGAGGATCTAGAGGTTGGTGAAAAAGAGCGGTCCTTGCCGTCGCGCTCGGTCATCTCGATCAAGTCGAATGGACGCCTATTCCTTGACTTTCACCGAGGGGGGATACTACTGTACTTGAGCCACCATGGCTATGGTTCCTGCAAGGTTCCTGTCCACTCGGTTCGTGCTTCTGGCGTGGTGAAAAAGCGCTCTGTTCATCAGGTCTGCTCGGTCCATGATTGATACCATCAATCCCGTTTCCCCAAGCAATCCACTGATCTGCCATGCTCAGTGTGTCTTTCCCAGCATCGAGTGCGCGGCAGCTGCCGCTTCAGGTCAGTGATCTGCTGCAACAGCTCGGCCTTCTCATTCAGGGCGAAGGTGTGCCTTGGTTCTACAAGGCTTTGGCAAGTTGGCCTTCTCGGATTTGCTCAGAGTCGTGGGACCACTTACTTGAAGTCGGTCCAGTTCGCTGCCAATGAGCTCGGTTCGGTGAGCTTGCTTTGTCTCTTGGTGACCATGGATCTGCATTCAGCACTACAAGTACCATCTGCTCGACAAACACGGTTACCATGGATCAATAGCTGGCCTGTCCCCTGCTGTGAGTTTGGACGACCTGCGATCGTGAAAGACTCCACAGACTCGTCCCGGACACCATACTCCGGCACTGCGCCTTCGCGACACATAGGCTTTGGCTTCCTCCAGGTCTCTCAACGCAGCAGCCTCGACACGATGGTTCGGCTCACCGTTGATGGACAACGAACCAGCTGCTGTGAAGGGTCCGCGGGATGGTGGGTGTCTTCATGGTGTTCCTGATCTCTTGTCCATCACTTTCTGGGAATTCTGAGTGAATGGTAGACTACGTCTGCATACTATTTGTTTTAGGAGGCCTTATATGTATATGTAAAACATATAAACAAACAACCTAGCAATAGGTACACCTCAAAGCCAGGATCGAAGAGTTGCATCAACCCCGGCACCTCACGCTTCTTGGCCTCAAACTCCCGGTGGTTCGCCTCGCAAAAATGATTGAAACGCCCTGGCCAGTCCACCGTTGTCAACCTCATGGACCAAGCTTCACTGCCTCAACTACCTATCTGAACCAAGCCTCAACCTGAAATTCATGCGAGTACTTTGTACACATGTCGTCGTCGTCGTCGCCGTCGTCGCCGTAGTAGTAGTAGTAGTAGTAGTAGTAGTAGTAGGAGTAGGAGTAGGAGTAGGAGTAGTAGGAGTAGTAGTAGTAGTAGGAGTAGGAGTAGGAGTAGTAGGAGTAGTAGGAGTAGTAGTAGTAGGAGTAGTAGTAGTAGTAGGAGTAGTCGGAGTAGTAGGAGTACTAGAAGTAGTAGTAGTAGTAGTAGCAGCAGCAGCAGTAGTAGTAGTAGTAATTGTTGTTGTGGTGGTAGTAGTGATAGTGATAGTGATAGTGGTAGTGGTAGCGGTAGTAGTCTGTGGTAGTAGTCTGTGGGTGGGATGAGAACTGGTGAGAATGCAACCGGTGTGAAAATATACATTATATTGTGCCCCGATTGGGGGAGAACCCCATTCTATGTCCAGAACAACATCAAAATGGACAGCCAACCCACTGGTCAGCTCATATCTTGCTTCATCCAGTTCGATGCCTGAGCAGCTTCTACTTGAAGCTTCTGCAATTGCTTCACCTCCGATGGCGTGTGCAGTTAGGGGATCTGCAAAGCGGATTCGCAACTACCATGCTTCCTTCCCTGTGCGTAGACATGCGTCCAAAATGGTGGTGGATCTTGATATGCACAGGGGGGTATGGCGTGGGCACTCTGCATGTTGTGCCCCTTTAAAGATGTTGGGTCTTTGACACCCAGAAAGTAGCTCTGACAAAGGTAACTCCTTGCCGTCTTCAAATCGGGATTGACACAAACGGGGATTTGTCCACATCCCCTTCTATTCCTCAGAAGAAACACGAACCGTCTCATACACCAACCTGGTGGCCGCATTCCCTCGCATCCTCAACCCCCACACTGACCCTCTGGCGCTCGTTGCTCAACTCCTTCTGCAAGTCTTCGTTCTCATCCTCCAAATGCCTGGAAGGGGGAACTTCCTAGAACTTCCTACTCAGCAATCAGTAGTCCATAGTTGCAAAGAATTCCCTTCACCTCGATTCATGTCTGGATTCTCTTCAATGTGTGTGTGTGTGGCCCATGTTAAACACTTGGTTGCAAGACAATCAAATGATACAACCAGGCAGCAAACCAACTGCTGTGGACCACGGAACCTCTTTTGCCTCTGTCTCTCACGTCCTCTTCCATCTCTGGACACGGGTCTGGCTGCGCTTCGCACTGAATTTCAGGCGGAACTTCGCTCTGACACGACCAAAATAAAGCAAATTGCTGTTTGTTAGGTGCCTAAGCTTTTGATGCTTGATCTGGACTTTTGGTTAGTTTGTTTGTTGGGGCTGAGTAAGCTCCAAGCTCCGCCCCTCAGGAACCAAAACTGAAGCCACCTGTGGGCACCTGTGCGCCGAACTGGAACTGTGGAGCAGAGGCATCATCAATGATGTCGGCATCATCATCCTCCAAAGGAAATAAGAAGATTTAAAAAGTTTTAACAATAAACTTAACTAATAGCGATGGCCTCCAACCTAGTAGCGATGGCCTCCAACCTAAGAGCGATGGCCTCCACCCTAGTAGCGATGGCCTCCAAAGGGAAGTACTTCTCCAAGATTTTCATGGCTTTTTGATAGACTTCCTCATTGGGATCTTCCTGTAGCGCTTCAATCTTTGGCAACCCATCTGCCGTCTCAATCTTGTTGGCAAAGGGGTTCTCAGCCATGCCCATCTCTTGCTGCTTGTCCTTGCCCACCTGAGCAGTGGAAACTCCGCGTCTAAAAAATGGTTGCGGTTCTGCAGTGGTGTTCACTCAACTCAACTGAAGAAGTACTTAAGTACTTGCTTGAATTGGTTGGACAAGAGAAAGGAAGAGATCAACATGTCTGGTCTGCAACATCACCAATCTGTTAGTCTCTACACACATATCTGTTAGTCTGCGTTTCCAGCCGACCAGCCGAGTCGGCCTTGAGGATGTTCTCCAAGGCCTCGAGGGCCACTCCAATAATCTTCGCATCAGAGACCGCCAACAGGTCGACCAAAGGCTTCACGCACCCACTCTCCACCAGATATTCCACCTGAAAAAAAGAAGTCTTTTTGCAGAGGAAGGAGGTGCTTTTCTCAATGTTTCGAAGCTTAGAACAAAGCGGTCGAAAATGTCTGAAGGAGTGAAAGTGCGGTTGAGTAAGTTGGGAAAGCACTGTCCTCTGATTTACCTTGCTAGGCGTTCTTTGGCTTTCGGTCCTTGCCTGTTGAGGAGATCCACCAGAGGTCGCATTGCTAATGGCCCATGCGGCTTCCTTCTTGATGTCAAAATCTGCGGTCTGAAGCAAATGGATGACCGGAGGCAACAGGCCGTTGTTGATGACCTCTTGAATTTGGTCCCGGTTTCCTGCGGTGATGTTGGAGATGGTCCAACAACTTTCTTTCCGGATGGCCTTCTTGGCATGAGACAGAAGCTTTAACAAGGATGGTAAAGCTCCACTCTGAAGAATCACCTGGGTCTGGTTGTCATCCCCTGTGACGATGTTCCCAACAGCCCGCAAGGCTGGAGTCTGCACCAGTGGTGAGCTGTGAAGTAAGAGCTCCACCAAGCGTCGGCACACGCCCGCCTGAATCACCGCAGTGATCCTCTCATTGGGACCATCGGAGAGATAAGACAAGGCCCAGCATGCATCAGTCAAGACCTCGCAATCCGAGGAATAAATGAGGTTGGCTAAGGTGCCCAGAGCAGGGGACACCCACTCAAAGGGAGGAGGAGGTTTGCCACGACAGAGGTTGGAGAGGGTCCAAGTGGCATTTCGCATCATCGAGGTCTTTTCAGACTCTCTCAAGACGGTCATGACCGGATGAAGGCCACCGCTCTGCAAGACTAAGTCTCTGAAGTTGGGGGAGTCTCCGGCGATGTTCCCAAGCGCCCACACCGCTTGTTCCCGCACATCGTCATTGGGAGACTGCAAAAGCTGCACAAAGATCGGCAGGGCACCGTGCTCCACCACCACGCGTGTCTGATCCGCATTGCCCGAGGCGATGTTGGTCAAGACCCAAGCGGCTTCAAACTGCAAGTCAGGGCGATTAATCTCCTGCAAGAGGTTCCCTGGAAACCCACCAAAACGAACGTCGACTCCCCAGCGAAGTCGAACGTCGACTCGCCCTTGAAACAGTCCAAACTTTAGCCCCTGAAGAAGGCCGCCAGTTTTGCTGTTGTCTCTCCTAGCTCGTGCGGTACTTAGCCATGGGCTATCCGAAAAGACCTCCGTCCTTGAGGAACTGAACAAAGCGCGGGACCACCCCGGCATTGATCACCTCCGAGATTGGTGGATTCTGCTCGATGCTGAGCAATTTCCGGAACTGCTGGGTGGCACTGAACTGCGCCTCCGAGCTTGAGGCCGCCGGGAAAAGCACTGTCCAAATGGGGGAACTGGAAGGACGGTTCAGGTCTGGGCCAGACCCAAGTGATCCACAGAACAAGGACGAAGTAAGCCTCTCTCTCTCTCTCTCTTTGCTTCACTCTTCATTGAATCTTAATCTTTAACTATTCTTTGCTTTGGGCCTTTTGGGGATGACCCGCAAAGCTGCTCTGCACAGTTGCGACATGTGGAGCTGGTCAGTTCACGTTCGAATCGCATGCCCCAAGGATTTGGAGGTTTTTCAAGCTCCCCCATGTCCAACAAGGGCACAATGACATTCCAAGCACAGAAACGACACAATGAAAGCTTGCTTTAGTGCGGATCCCAACGAAGGTAAGATCTGGTGGGAGTGCGCACTGTGAGCTTCAAAAACATCTAAAATGCGCAAGAGGACCAGCCGTTTCTTCACGTCACCTGGAGGTTGAGTGCTTTGTAGGTCCTAACCTTCACGTCTTCGCAACCCCTCTCCACGCCTGCGGGTCATCCGACATCAGCGCCTGGCTCAAGGCGGGGATCTGCTCGCAATTCGAGGGCCCGGTCGCCATACCGCTGTGCATCATGGCCATAGGATCCGGCAGCTGGCCTCGTTCGGGCCCGTTCGCTCACGTGAGTTGATGGCCAAATAAGAGACTGGCCATGCGTGGTGCTGTTGCTGCTGGGCAAAAAGATAATAGGAAAACAAAGAGGAGGCAACGGGATTCGCTCTGGAGATAAACCATTCAAAGCCTTTTTACATACTGAGCAAAAACCTTATTCAAAAAGTAAATGTAGTCTTTCAAACATGAGAGTCTTGAGATTAGAATTTCCCCCTCACCCCCCAACCGCCTGGTGGCAGATCGTTCACCATGCGTTTCTTCATCAAAGCCTCGTCCCTGGTCTGCTTTCGCAGCTGCACGGCCGCGTCTTCTCTTTTTCGTCGCGCATCATCTGCATCCACGCCTTTCTTGAAGGCTTTCTGTCGTTGGCTCAACCGGTCACCAAAGCCCGACATCTCGGAAGCGCGAACGAAGTCGCGCCGGCTAAGTTCGTTGAAAAGACTTGAGCCAAATATATATATATATATATATTGGCTGTGCAGCATGGAAGAACAAAAACACCATCACCACCCATCGCAGTAAGTGCTTCAGTTCTCAAGCAATTTTCACTCTTGCAATCCATGAAGGCCGCAAGAGGAAGCAAGGCAATAGAAGCACTTGATGGCAAGCCACAACATTCATGAAAGCCATCTGGCTATCTGGATGACCCACCTACAGTAGCACTGTCCTCACAAATCATTTAAAAAAGAATGTGCTTCTTGTCAAAGCATCGGTCCCAGCATGCGCCTCAGTTGCGAGAGCACGTCCTCATCCATCTCAATCTCATCCCTCTCCTTCCGCACTTTGGGCACTGGGGCATCCTGGTGATTGGCATCAAAACCAGAGACCGTGCCGCACGTCGTAAGACCCGCGTCTTGCGGTAAAACCAGCAAAACACTTGCTTCGCGGAAGAATGGCAAACTGACAGCGGTCTTGTTTGAAGCTCTTGAACCAGGGCCAATTGTGTGACATCTGTGTGCGGATTGCAACCACCAGGCCGCACACATGTCGGGGATGTCTAGGACTCGGGCTTCTACCCATTCGCAGAATTAGACTTGAACGCTTCAGTCTTCGCTACAGAAGCTTACCAAACACGAATGGTTGAGCCACTTCCGAGCAGCATCACCTCCGTATCACATCTGCAGACCAAGTCACTACAATTTCTTCGCAGTCTGCCTGTCAGTCAACCTGCTTGTTCTCCTCTATATCTAGGTGTACTGATTGAACAGAATCATAACAGGTAACAAGATAGGGAGAAAGATATCATCATATCACATCTATATAGGTCCAAAGACCTGCTTGTTCTCCCATCATCTGACCTCGACCTGTTTCGGACCGGTTGGCACCGGCTTCATCGCCTGGGGAGCTGCAGAGCCTCCCTGTGGGCGACCAGTCCAGCGGCGCGGGGCAGGCCTGTGTGTTCGGAGCCACAGTCTATATTGTTGAGCTGAATGAAGCTTGACTGACATTGGAAATTACAACCAAAAAAAACAACAAATAGGGGAAAAATGGAACCTGTTGTTGGTCCCTTTTTTGGTCCTAGTTGTTCATGCCCTATGGTGTTCCTAGTGTTTCCTATGTGTGTTCCTATGTTTTCCTATGGCTTTCCTATGTGTTTTCCTATGTCTCTCCTATTTTGTCCGATGTTTTTGTTTTTTTCCTAAGGTGTTTGCTAAATGTGCAGTTAGTTAGAACGAACAAATCAATGTGCAAATTGCGGCAAATTCAGACAAAACAAAAGGAAAACAAAAATGAAAAATTGAAAAATATGTGTTTACTTTTTTTGCCCTATGTTTCCTATGTTTGTTCCATGTGTCTTCCTAATTTGGATGCTGTCCTCTTGTTTTTTGACCACACTCAGTGGAAGCTTAACTCCCTCAACACAAGTCTATATTAACTCCTTTCGGTCTTTGGAGGCAGGGGACCTGATCTGAAATAAGCTTCAACTGGGGGGATGTAGCTGGAACTCACAAAATCATGGAAATCGGAGGTTGCGAACAAACGGTTCCTGGAGGTTTCTTTCATGGCCATAAACCACTCAGATCCAAAAAGAACACCCCAGCTTGTGAAATTTGGTACTGCTCATCTCCCCCTACTACTAGCAAGAAGCTACTAGGTGGACGCCATCATCGCTATTAGGTTGGAGGCCATCACTATTTGGTTGGAGGCCATCGCTACTAGTAACAATAAAGCTTTCCTTGTTTTCTGAATTAGTAGCAAGGACGCTATTAGGTGGAGGCCATCGCAGTAGGTTGGAGCCATCGCTACTAGGAACAAGAAGCTACTAGTAACAAGAAGATACTACTCATTGTTTCTTTCAACTTCATGGCCGTTGCTTTCGGCCATGGGAGATTCCCTCAGAACGCATTCCTGCCTTCGATCTCATCAGGAGATTCCCAACTACTAGGTACTGAGGTTCAGTGCCCCGTCCCACTGAGAAAAGAAAACGCTCCAACCTCTTTTTCTTTTTGATTGCACCAATTAAGAAAGGAATCCCCTTGACGAAAGAATCCGAGCTTAGTAAGCCTGTTAATCCGAGCTTAGTAAGCACAAGGTTGAAATGAATTGGAGATCCTTTTACTGCTTCGTACAACACCCATTCGCCCTTGCAGGGAAAGCCTCGCAGGCAGTGAGGGCCACACCTGGTCGGCAGAAAGTGGTTGCTTCGGATCGTCATGCTTCCAATTTGAGGAAACGGTGGCGTTGGTTTGACCATGGGGCATTGGAGAGTTGCCCATTAAGTCTTTCACTTCATGGAAGAGCCGGGAAGACTAAGAGCTCGTTTTTAGACTCCAGAGTCTGTGCAAAATGAGGATGTTTTTGGAGAAAAACTGATGTAGAAGATGAAGTGGAAAGGCTCGAATAACGTCATTATCAAACATCTGCAGTTGAGCTACAGCATATATATCATATAACCCGTCGGCAAAAGGAAAAATGGACACAAAAACCACTTGGGTCTTGTTGGTTGAGCCACATCTGACTTCAGACATGAAGCAAATGTTCCACTAGGAAAAGGCAATGTCCAGTTTGTTGAGCTGTGACAGGCTGTGGCTACGCCGCGAAAGAAGACTCCACGTGATCGTTACTCTTTGTGGAACTAAGAACGAAATCCATAAAACCAAATGACGATCGTTCCCCCTCTTCAAAAGCAGGAAGAAATTCCCTTGAAACCTACCTGTGTTGAACATCGTTTCTTTCCGTTGACTGAGGCAGCTTGCTGCAAACTTTGCACGGATAGGTGATGCAAAGTAAAGAACGGATCCGCTTGATCCTTCCTTCACAAAGGACAGGACATCCAGTGGCCTTTCGAACATGGTGACAAATGGCAACATGAGTCGTCTGGCCTCTGTGTGGCCGTTGGCTTTGCCACGACCTCCGCCTGGCAGCGGAAAGCCGAAAAATCTCGGGGTGTTTGTTCATGAGTTTTCTGCCCCAGCTTCTTGTTACTACTAGTAACAGGTGCCACGCTAGTAGTAACAGGTGCCTTACTAGTAGTAACAAGAAGCTATTAGTAACACATTAGTTGTCAGAAGATGACGTCCTTCCCACGTCTCCAGGGTCTTTCGGCGATCCCGAAGGGAACAGCAAAAGCCGCCACCAAAGCTTTTAATTCTCGTTTCTAATAGCTTCTTGTTACTACTAGTAAGGCACCTGTTACTACTAGCGTGGCACTTGTTCCTAGTAGCTTCTTGTTACTACTAGTAAGGCACTTGTTACTAGAAGCGATGCACTTGTTTCTAATGGCTTCTTGTTTTATGGCGTTTGATGTTTTTGTTGTCTCCTAAATCGATGGATAAGTCCTTATTACCAGCATTGCAGACATCCGCATCTAAACCCATCTGCGTTCACCATACCATGTGTCTGCTCAACACTCCAACATCTTCGTTCAGGCCTGCCTTTTGAGCCCTTCTTTTGCTCAGGTGGTTGCTCATCTGCCCACTCTTCTTCATCCCCATATCCTGCTTCCTGGCTTGGGTTTTCAGCTTCAAAATCTTCTTCGTCGTCTGCTTCAAGCTCCTGCTCCCCTGCCACCTCTTCTGCTTCCACCTCCTCATCTGCTTCCTCCTCTTCCTCCGCTTCCACCTCCTCTTCCTCCGCGTCTGCCTCTTCTTCTCCTTCCGCTTTCACATTCTCTTCGTCCTCCGCCTCTTTCTCTCCTTCTGCCTTTTCTTCTGCTTCCTCCTCCTCCGCCTCCTCTGCCGCTTCCGCTTTCAGGTTCTCTTCTTTGTGCACATCTTCCTCTCGTTCCGGCTTGGGCTCTGCTTCTGCCTCTTTCTCTGCATCATCTTCTCCATCTCCTGTCTCTTCAGCTTGCTCTCCATCCTCTTTCCCTCCATTCACTCCATTCACTACGTGACCATTTTTTCGCCACCTCATCATGTCTCTGCACCTCACCCTCTTCGAGGGCATCCTGCAGCTCACGCTCGCGCTTCGGCGGAAGTTTCACTTGGTCGTTGTGTGACGTCAACCCAAGTCGTCAGCATACAGAATGCTGGGGATGTGAATGAATCTGAGGGTTCTATGGGTGATCTGGCTTGGAAAGCTGTTGCTATGCAAAAAGAATCATGCTTGAAGAATTGGAACCGCTGTCGCTATCTATGCAAAATCGAAATGCAAGGATGTGTTCGGACATGAAAGTGGACAAGTGAGGCAGAGAAGAACAAAATCACAACCTGCCGACGTCAATATAAAAGACATAGCCAGGAGGTTGATTTCGGGGCTGGCTTCACATCTCTGAGATCAATTGAAACCTCTCCCAGGCCTCCACTGCCATGGCGAGTCCAGTCCAGGCACTGCGTAATTCAAAACGTATGTTTTGTGACCGACCTTCTCGAAAAGCCGATGTTGCTCGGTCTTCTGCAACAGTCTTCCTATATATGGTCCTAGGTGTTTTGAGCTCTGGAACTCTACAGCCTCTGATGTGCGTTGCAGCTGACTCTACTTGGTCTATCTTTTGCTGCAAGGTACTCTAGATCAGCGAACTCCATGAGCAAAATGAAGGATTTGGAGGCTTCTACTCGTTCCGTTGCCCATCTTGCTGATGTGCGTGAAGGACTTCAAATGAAGTCACATAGTCCTAGTTGTCCGATGATCTGTTCGCTCTCTCCATGTTGTCAACACTTGGAACAAACAAAGGAGCCAAAATAAGTGCGAAGCAATGCACACAACTTGGCAAGATACTCTTCATGTGTAAGCCAAGAGCAAAACTGCTGTGGGATCCAAACCCCGGGTCTTGCAGGACAACTTCAAATCTCCAGTCTCCAGCATGCTATGCTCACCATTTGGGGTATGGTGTCCAAAATGCCACGAAGGAACTCGTGATTGGCTCACAAGGCAAGAAACTCAAAATTCTTCCCCAATTCGCTTGCTTGTCTGCTCTGTCAGAGACAACAGATCGCATCCCTCAGATGGCTGG